GACTGTATCAGAAAATTGAAATAATTATTTCTACCTCGGCTATATTGTTAACACAGGAGTGTTGATGCTGGCATAATTGCGTCCTTCCATATTTTTTTCTGAGCTCATAAAGAAAGCTTTTAAAAGGTTTTGGCATTGGGTTATTTTCAGCGAGATCCCTCTTACCGGTGAGATTATAAGTAAACCTGAACGGGTTTTTGAAAGAGAAGGAGTTAGTAAAAGTTATAGAAGGAATAACTCACTCGAAAGCTTTCTTAGTGCTACTGTCGAGCTTCATCTCAGTATTTAGGTATGATATTAACCCTGTACCAATAATAAATGGTATAACTTCGGCTTTGTTCACACTTGGGATGTATCCATGATTGTGGAGTTGCCGAAACACGGTTTCAGATGCCTCAATTAAACGATCTTGACTATGGCAAGATTTCAAATATTTTTAAAACAATGTCGCTCTAACGGATTATTTGAGAAATTAGATTTATAAGTTTTAGACACTTTTTTTGCACTTGGAAGTGAAAAAAACAACAAGAAATAGTATTTCGTACTTTTTGTGTCTTATGTTTTCGAAAAACTTGAAGAAAATCCAGAATAGTTTACCAGATTTGTCAGGTATAACGCTAGAGCAGGCCAACGACTGCGCTTTTCCAGCAATAAAGAAAAGAAGCTAGCACACATACTGCTAAGCAAACCCATAGAGACAGGAGTGAAAAAGCCCAAAACATGCCTGGAAGTACCGTATGCAACACGGCACAATTAACCTTAATAGAGAAAAGTTGTTACGTACCTGAACCTACATAAGAAAAAAATAAACAGCACTAAATTACAGGTGAGGAATGTTGAAGAACGAAGAACATCTTTCAGATAACGTCGCCAGTCGACTTTTCTCACATCTCCTCTCTTCGTTGCCAAAGCTGTTACCTACAGACAGGTATGTAAACCCAGCCTAGTGAATAAGAGCATTTTTCTACTTACCAAGTAGAATGGAACATAAGTTTTTAGACAATAAACTATGCAGTCGGGTAGTGTGTCCTAAAGAAAAAAAGTCTCTGCCTACAAATCTTCAAAATTCAAAAAAAGAAAGAAAATAAAACGCTCACGAGAATCGCACGGTTACAACTTGGGGTCCATGTGTGAATCGTTTCATAGCAGTTAGTATTGAGAACTTGCAAACCACATTGATGGGCTAATTTGGATAATGCAGGCATATGAGATTATATGTAGTTCTGGGAGGAGAACTGGCTTGAGATCAGTTTTTTTTTTAAACTAAAAAAAACGCATTTGAAAAAATTGATTGGAGGGAGAGTGTACAAATGAGCGTCTCCATAATGCCTACAGAATGCAGTAAAACATGAATTTCTTTGTTTTTTCATTTGAGCGGTGTTGTTGCACCATGTCTTCATTTTAGCGCTCTAATGATAACCATTTCTAATGTAAGATGAATAAAAAGAGAATAGAATGTTTGATAAAGAGTG